ATTATCTATTTTTAAATAGGGTCATGTATGCAATGAACGTTATTGTCAAAACTGTAAAGCGTTTCATAGCATTGATCGAGGCTGCTTTATTCAGCAATTAAATATTAAAGCACCAAAACCCTATAGAATTGTATCATTCGATGTTGAAACAATGCAGCACAATTACATTGAAAATCAGCATAATAAAAGAAACCATCAAATTAATTTTATTGGAGCCAAAGTTGTTTGTGCAAGCTGTATTGAAAATGGAAATTGGAAATTAAATTTAAAAGAAAATAATAATATTTGCCAAGTATGTGGGGAGAATAGGTCAATTACTTTTGGCCAACGAAATTTTACCGAAATAATTGTCGATAAAAAGGTAACTTTATTTTTTCTAGTATAAATAAAATAAAATTTTTGAATCCTTTTTATTATATCTTATCTATTTTACTAATAATTAATTAATTTTTTAATGAATTTCTCGAATTTACTGTCTAAATTTTCTCTAAATTACTAGTATTAATTAGAATTTCTCTAATTTATTATTAATTAATTTAATTTTTGTCATTGAATTTATATAATTAAATTCCCATTTATTTGATAGAAATCAAATTTTCACTAATATTAATTAATATATTTTTTATTGAATTTCTATAATTTATTAGTATTATTTAAATTTTTTCTAGTTTGCTAATTTTTATTGAATTTTTCTAATTTAATAATTTTTTAAATTTATTAATAATTTATAATTATAAGGTTATTTGTTGTAATCCTATTGAAAAATTTGTGGATTGGATATTATTTGAACTTCCTAAGAAATATCAAACTTTTGTATTTTCTCATAATGGAGGACGTTTCGATATGGTTTTAATATTTCGCGAAATATTTCTTCGAAAATTAAATCCATCTATGATACGAAAGGTATAATATCCAGATAAAATTTTTATTGAAGTCTAATTATAGGGGAATAAAATGTATGAAATGAAGGTTCCCCAAACATCTCAAAATCCTGAGGTTATTTTCCGCGATTCTTTCAATCTATTACCGAATGCCTTGGCTGTTCTTGTTTCAACCTTTGATCTAGATGTAGAAGAAAAACCTTTTTTCCCATATTTGGCAAATCATCCTGACAATTATGATAAAATTATGTCAACTCTACCACCAAAGGAAGATTACCTTTGTGGAGGAATGAAACCTGAGAAGAAAAAAGAATTTGATGTTTGGTATGAAGCAAATAAAAATGAAGGATTTTTCTTAAATGAAGCATTAGCTAGTTATTGTATGAACGATGTTGATATTTTAATGAGTGCATTGATTAAATTCCGCGATGAATTTTACAAAGTTTCTCGTAGGGAAGGAAGTGAAGGTATTAATTTTAACTAAGTATTTAGATAATAATAATTTAAGGCATTGATGTTTTACACGACTCTATGACAATTGCCTCGGCGTGCATGCGTCATTTTCGGGCTAACCACTTGAAACCCGACCAGCTTGCAATTGTCCCTGAAAGAGGATATGATACAGCAGAAAATCAAAGCTTGCTGGCCCTTAAATTTTTAAAATGATTTGGTGAGAAAAATAATTTTGATGTCCAAACTTGTAATTCTGCCTCAGGCGAGAAAAAGTAAATAATTTAATTAAAGTTTTTAAATTATTAATAAAATTAAGAGTTGGTAATTATAAATTGGATGGGTGGGTTGAAAGCCAAAATTTGGCCATTGAGGTATATGGATGTGTATGGCACGCGTGCCCTAAACATTATCCTGATGACAGCATGATTATGCCAAACGGGAAGACCGCTGGATATATCAGACAATATGATGATGAAAGAATTAAATTTATTAAATCTAAAGTTCAGCAAATTAAAATTTTTTGGGAATGTGAAATCAATGAAATGTTAAAAATGGATATTGATATGAAGAAAAAGTTTAATGATTATTTGGATGAAGGGCCTTTAAACATTCGTGAAAGCTTTTTTGGAGGAAGAACTGGTCCATTAAAGCTCTTTTACCAACCAAAAGATGGAGAAAAAATTAGTTATTATGATGTCACCAGTCTTTACCCTTATATAAAGTAATTTTAAATAATAAATACAATAATAAAAAAACCCAAAAAACATTAACTTAAATTGAATTTTTTGAAGGTTTTTAAGATAAAATTTAAAAATTCTTTTTGAAAATTTAACTTTACAATATTTTAATTGTTGGAGTATTAATAAATGGATTTAAATATTTTTTAAAGTTGCACTACACGTTATCCGGTTGGCCATCCTAAAGTGTTAGTGTTAAATGAAAATGTTAATTGGTCAAAATCATCAGACAATATTTATCAGTTATCACTGCTGAAGGTTTTTGTTGTGCCGCCACGCAAACTGGATGTGCCAGTTTTACCTATGAAAGTTGATGAGAGGCTTTTATTCCCTCTATGTTCCACATGCGCGTAAGTTTTTATTATTAATAACTCGAAAATTATATAAAATGAATTAATTAAATATTGAAAATAAATTGGGTAATTTATAGGAAGAAATATCCCCATGGTGATGTATTAGAGGAGTACAGCTGCCCTCACACTGATCTTGAACGTGGATGGGTTAGTACTTGTACTTCCTTGGAATTAAATATGGCTTTGGATGAGGGATATTATGTGACAAAGGTCTATCGCGTGATAAAATATGAAGAAGGTGATGATGAATTATTCCGCCCCTACATCGCGGAGTTCATGAAACAAAAGATTGAGTCATCAGGCTTCGATAAAAATATTAAAGGGAATGATGATTTGGAAAAGAAATTTATCAATGAATGTAAACAAATATTTGGAATTAATATTGAAAAAGAGAAGATGAAGCCAAATAAAGGCAAAAGGGCCTTGGCTAAGCTTGCTCTGAACAATCTTTGTAAATCTCGATTAAAAAAAAATTTTTTTTAATTACTTATTTAAGGGGGTAGATTTTCACTCCGAAATTTTGGGTTGTCAAAGACTTTAATTACTGATGACCCATGCGAATTCTCAAAGTATCTTGACAATCATAAAATCGAAGTAACAGCTATGGATTCATTTAATATTGGTAAGTTCAAAAAATTTTCAATTTTAATAAAAATTTTCAAATTTTAGTCATTTCTTTATGGACTACGTCAGCCGCGCGTATCCACTTACTGAGGGCAATGCAAAAGGTGGCAAGAACACCAGGTTGCACTTTATTATATACAGGTGAATTTTATATAATAGAAAGTTTAAATAAAATCTTTAATTAGACACCGATTCACTGATATTCGTCCATCCAGTGAATAAGTGTCCTCTTCCAACTGGGCCACACTTGGGAGATTTAACTGACGAGTATCCGGATGATGAAATTGTTGAGTATTGTAGCGGAGGGGCAAAACAATATGGTCTAAAATTGAAGCAAAAGAATTCGACAGACAACGAATTTAGCCATGTTTTAAAAGTGCGTGGGATGACTTTGAGTCATGATGTAATTGAAAATCAACATCTCTGCTATGAAACCTTCAAGGAACGTGTAATAAAATATGTGAAAGAATGTGATCTTGACCCAATTCCCATATTGTACCCCAATTTTATACGTCCCTCCATCCCCAAAGGTTGTGTAATTTCTGTCCCCATGCAGAAAGTTTATAAGCCCTACGTAGGCAAAGGCATCATTTCACCTAATAATTTTAATGTATTAGATTTTGGTTATATTCAATAAAATTTTTAATATTAGAGTATTTTTTAAATTTTTATCAAATTAAAATTGAAAAGATAGTAAAAATTAATAATTAATATTTTTAGAAGATGAAATTTTAAAATAATTAATAATTAGAAGTAGGTGATTTTAAGGGGAAAAATGCAATATTAACTAATAGAAGCTGAAATTTTTTGAAAAACTTTTAATTAATATTTTTAGAAGATGAAATTTAAAAATAATTAGTAATTAACAGTAGGTGATTTTAGGGGGAAAAATGCAATATTAACTAATAGAAGCTGAAATTTTTTGAAAAACTTTAAATTAATATTTTTAGAAGATGAAATTTAAAAATAATTAGTAATTAGAAGTAGGTGTTTTTAGGGGTAAATTGACAATATTAACTAATAGAAGATGAAATTTTTGAAAAACTTTAAATTAATATTTTTAGAAGATGAAATTTAAAAATAATTAGTAATTAAAAGTAGGTGATTTTAGGGGTAAATTGACAATATAAACGAATGGAAGATGAAATTGTTAAAAAATTTAGGAAAATTCTTAAATTATCACCAATATGTATCATGTAATAGTTGATTACATTCTTTTCGAGCACGTGCATATGTTTCAAATTCCTTATCATCTTTTTCCTCATCATTTAATTCTATTTTTACATCGAAGTTTTCCTTGTTGTCATCGCGCAAAAACGTCATGAAAGGGTTAGTTGTTGATTCATCGATAAGTTCCAGCAATTCGAGTGGATAGTATCTATCCTCGGCTCCACTTTTCTTATCACTGAATTTTTCAATGACGCAATGAGTGTAAGGGTGATGAAGACGTATGCGGTGACGGCAATAAAAATGCGCAGTGACGCTAATATTAAAAGGGTGTGGTAGACGTCCATATGCAATAATTTTATCCGCGCCAAATTCACTTAAACCTCCAATTTTAAATGTATTGTTGAATTCATTTCTGTCTTTGTATGTTGTTCGAACTAATTTTCCTTTAAATTTTTCCAGGATCAGTTCACGATCCTTAGGATGAAAAAGTCGTTCACGAAGCTTTGATGGTTTACAATTTAATAATTTAGAAAATTCATCAATAAGAAGCACCATTTTTAATTATCAATATTAATGATCTGGTTGTAAAAATTTTGTTAAATGATTTGATAAATTATTGATTTCAAAACAATAGGGGGCGGGTCTAATATTAATTAACATATAATAAATTGAAATCTCAAGTTACCGCCCACTTTTTGATTATAAAAGTGAATTCTCTTATTCATTCACTCATCATTCTAAAAATTATTCAACTAATAAATACTTCAGATAATATTTTAACAATGCCCCGCAAAGCTTCAGCAGTTAAGGATGTAAAAGAAGTAGCTAGCGAAAAGGGTAATGTTGAGCCTACACAGCCAGTAGACTCTGATACACCAAAACCAACTAACGATTTAATTGAAATTCACACACCATTCTACGAGCCACTTTCTAAGAAAGAACTTGCTAAGGCAAAAGATAAGAAAACAAATGAAGATAAGAAAACTAAGGATGAGTATCTTTGGAAATTAATCAGATGTAAATATCTGCTTACAATAAAGCTTTGCTCAGGTGAGAATTTAATTTAAAAATTTTAATTAAATTATTAAATTTTAGCTTGTCAGAATCGTCTATTCCTGATGCAAGACAAATTTATACGTTATGCAACAGGAGTTACATTGAAAATTGACTTATGCAATGATTGTATAGATACTAATTGCCGTGCTTCAGACGTCTTGGCTCCATTCAAGCAAACTGGAACTAAACGAAAAGCCAACTAAAAGATTTAAAAAATAAATCAACGTAATTAATTAATTTAATTAATATTATTTTGCTCTATTTAATTATTATATTAATTATTGTTAAATTAAAATATTAAAATAAATATTAAATTTTGAAATAATTAATTTTCTTTAAAAAATAAGTATTCATTTTATTCATAAATAAATCACATGATTCAGGATATCTTTCCAAATGTGACGGATTATGTATAAGATCACATAAATTGCGGAAAGTGGGGAGGGACTGTCTTATAATATTTTTATTTCTTTAAATTTAATAAATTTTGACTCGTGCAAATCCTGATCTCTAATATTATATGTCGAGACATTTGTTAAAATATTTATTAATAATAATAAAATTTTTTAAAATACATATTAATTGTAATAATTAATAATCGTAAAGTAAATATATAAAATTGACATCTTAATAATTTTACAAACTTTTTAAATAATCTATAATATTTGAGATTGGAGGTTCATATAAAAATCGCCATCTTGAATACATTAGGTAATCTGTTCTATTAGGTTTTCCAAATTTGAACTTGTTATCATAAAGATCCCAACGTAGAATCCAACGCCCCATATTTTTTATTTCAACTTGTCTTGCTATGTCACTCTTCTTCAGATGATAGATGTCTTTTATAAACCACCGCATGTACAATTTTTTATCGGCTGAAGTTTTATTAAATGATTTTTTGTCCAATGTATTCCGAGTTTGAAACACTCCCGAATTATTTACAGTTATATTAAAAAATATTCGTGGTGGAGTTCTCCGCCAAATTGGTAGTGGCGTCTGCCGAAATAATGTTGTCACTAATTCCTCTATCTTCCAGGGTTTTGCAGTAAAGTCGTTAGCCAATAAGAATGGAATACTTATTAATATAAATGGAAATATTAACATTTTAAATAACAATAGATTTTTATTATTAATTATAGTTATTTATTGTCGGATTTTCTTGACGTTCGTATTATATGCAAAATGATTTATTAATTTAAAAAAATGTTCTTTTTTATATTAATGATAATAATTTATATCAATCTTAAAATTGTTAAATTGATATTAATAAATACTTTACAGATTTTATCATAATCAAATTCAAGTTTTGTATATAGAGATATTCCCAATTGGTGTGTGCACGCGTATATATCGCACATAGTTGTATTTATCATAAGGACACTTTAACCGCACCCATCCATAGGGGTTGATAATGCGTGAAAAAATACAGATATTAAAATTTTTACCTAAATATTTGTTATTTCTCTAATTTCTTACTTCGTTTCTATCTTGTATTCCTTAATTTTACAATTATTTTATCTTCCAACGCCTAATTTTCCATTTTTACCCCAAAAATCTATATCTTTCATTGTTTAATTTTTCATGAACTTCATCTTCTATCTATTAACTTTACAGCAATTTAATCTTCTAATCCTTAATTTTGCACTTTTACCTCCTAAATCTACATCTTCTATTGTTTACTTTACATTAATTCCATCTTCTATCTATTAACTTTACATTAATTCCATCTTCAATCTAGTAACTTTAAATAAATTCTAGCTTCTAATCATTAACATTGCAATTTCACCCTCAAAATCTACATCTTCCATTGCTTAATTTTACATGAATTTCATCTTCTATCTATTAATTTTACATCAATTTTATTTTCTAATTCTTAATTTTATATCAAGTTTATCTTGTATTCCTTAACTTTACAATTATTTTATCTTCTAACGCTTAATTTTGCATTTTTACCCCCAAAATCTACGTCTTCCATTGTTTAATTTTACATTAATTTTATCTTCTAATCCTTAACTTTGTATCATTTTTATCTTCCAACTCTTTATTTCACAATATTTATATCCTACAACCTTAAATATAAAAATGAATATGTGTGCGTGTATGTCTGATAGCAATAAAATATTGAGAAGTAAAATTAATTTAAAAATTTTTTAATATGAAAATGTAATAATTGAGTCTTCCGGAGCACAGTATATATCAGCAATAGTCCAAACTTCAAAAATAAGTTAAAATTAAGCTAATTATTTGGGTCTCGAAATAGCTGATAAGACTTGATATTTAGTAATAAAATATTTTTTATACATTAAATTGAAAAAAAATTTTTTAAATATGAAAATGTAATAACTGAGTCTTCCCGAGCACAAGATATATTAGTAATAGTCTAGACTTCAAAACTAAATTAAAATTAAAATAATCAGATGGGTCTCGAAATAGCTGATAAGACTCAAAATTTTGTAACAAAATATTTTGAGGTGAATTAAATTTTCAAATATAAGAATGCTTTTTTAATAATTTATCCTCCTTTCCTCGACACTGAGTGTAACACTAATAACATGTTTAGACCATTCAAAACAGTAGTAGTAATTGATAACTAGTAATATAATTAATAAGACTCAAATTACTATATTTATCCTTTTAGTTCACACGCACTCATAGCATACTTTATTCTTTTTTTTGTGACCACTCCTCCCCAATCTTTTTTTATCGGACCCAACCTGCCCCATGACTCATTTTTATTTTTTTAGCGCGATCATAAAAAGTGTGACTTTTTGAATTTTATTATTTTATATAAAATTTATATGCATATATTGTTTTTATTTTCAAATTTTACAATATATTACTGTAAGTCCATCTTTTTACATTATTTATTTTATATAAGAAATAAATAGGTATATCTCTTTATGAATTTTACAATATAATTGATTCGTTTTTACCTGCATGCTTTTTTCAACTAACCGCCGACAAAACTTCCTCCACACGCACTGGATAATTGCACTCCGCACTCACTGTACTTTATAATTAACCCCTGACTCCACCATTCATAAACATTTCGATACCTATCAACCTGAATAGGTAAGCGTTTATCGTTCAAAAGGGAAAGTTAATCGTTACCGCAACAATCATTTTAAGATTTGGTCAATTACTTTTAATTTCACTAATTAATTCTTAATACTTTTTAATTACCTTCAACACTTACTATAATCATGACATTATTTAAAGCAATGAATTTCTTTTGAAAATTAATGTGATAACTATAAAGTAATTATTAATAACGTGTTTTTTATTAGAGAGGGTTCATTAAGATCTGAATCTCCTTTTAAATCACCTGCGAAAATAATTTAAATAGTTGCAATACTTAGTATATAATTATTAATTATGGTTCTTTTATTAGAGAGTGTCATTAGACAAGTGGTTATTGCTCATTAAACAAGAGGATAATTGCTCTTTGACACTCCCGTCTTTTCAAATAACATGGTTAATTTTATAATTACAATAATAATTGTTTTTGGCTGACCTATAATCCCATTAAAGTTTTAGTTGAATAATTATACCCCCTCCATAGACACTGGTTAATTGAGAGCTGACCCCTCCTCACCCCTACTCGTTCATCATGTTGTAATTAGTGCGCGAAAATTTAACCTTCCCCCTCTTTCAAACCATTCAATTAGTTAATAATTATTATTTAATTATTAATGACCCTTCCCCTTCCATTCAACCCCTTAATTAATTAATAATTAATTAGGGGCTTCTATTAGAGAGGGTTTACCTCATACCCTTTCAACTGACCGCCGACCCCTTCCATAGGTTTAGGCTTCCCGGTAAAACCCTCCCATAGGCACTGGTTAATTGACCATTCCGTCTTTCAAACCATTTAATTAATTAATAATTACTTTTTAATTAATTACTAGTTATTATTAATTACTCTTCCTCACCCATTCAACCCGCTTAATTACGTAATAATTACTTTTTAATTGCTAATTAGGGGCTTCTATTGGAGAGGGGTTACCTCATACCCTTTCAACTGACCGCCGACCCTTCAATAGGCACAGGTTAATTGACCAGACCCCTCCACACCCCAATCGGTCAACAGGTTGTAATTACTGAGCGAAAATTTACTAAATATTTTATGGTTTACCGCAAACCCTTCCCCAAATCAGGAACCAAAGAAACTTTTACAATCATTTCATTAATTGCTAATTACTTTTTAATTCTTAATTATCGGTCTTTTATTGGAAAAGATTTACCTTATACCCTTTCAAGTGCCGCCGACCCTTCAATAGGCACAGGTTAATTGACCGCGGACCCCTCCACACCCCCACTCGTTCAACAGGTTTGTCCACTCAAACACTTCCATACCCACAGGTTAATTGCTCTCGGACCCCTCCCCACCCAACTCTTCAATAGGTTTGTCCACTCAAACCCTCCCACACCCACAGGTTAACCGCTCTCGGACCCCTCCCCCCACGACTCCGTCAATACCTTTGAATTAAGTGCGCGAAATCTTACCGCGCCCCGCTACGGTCCCTGTGTACTTACTACTATTAGTGGTGTGCATTAGTTTTTAGTTAAGACCTAAATTTTGTACCTTACCGTATACGGTATGGAATACCGAAAAACACTGATCAGCTTTTAAATTTTATCGGTAGGCATTCCGTACCGTACAACCGACACGGAATACCGAAAAATACCGTCGGTATTATGGTACCGTCCGGATTCTAGTTTTGGCGCCATTTTTAAAAAATTCGACATTTTGACCAATTTTGGCCGTGTCGACATTTTTACTATTCCATATTTTAACGATTCCATATTTTAACCCTTTTTTACCCGATTCGATATTTTAACCATTCCATATTTTAACGATTCCACATTTTAACCCCTTTTTAGCCTATTCGCGATTTTAACCCATTTTTACCCGATTCGAGATTTTAACCCTTTTTTAGCCTATTCCATATTTTAACGATTCGATATTTTGTCCGGACACGACATTGACAAAAATTTTGGCAATATCAAACTGTTTGTGAGGAAATTTTGCTTAAAGAAAAAATTGCAGATAAAATTTGCGGAATTTAAAAGATAACAGATTAAAATGCCAAATTTCAAAATGTCAACAAAAATAAAAAAAGTCCCCTTTGGTGGGGTTTTGGGTTCGATTGGGTCAGTTGGTTATAACTTCGTTAAGAATCATCTAATTAAGCTGATTTTTATGTCACTATACTCTCTCCAGCTCGACTATTCTTTTAAATGAGCTACATTAGCATAAAAACGTGAAAATTTGGGGTCATGAATTCAAATCCGCGTGTGAAAATTAATTTTCCAATCTGTAAAAAATGCTCTTTCCGCCTGTTTTGAGCACTTTTATAGTGATATTTGAACTTTTTCATTAAAAAACATGTTTTTGATAGGTTGATGAGCGATGCTCTAGCTAAACATTTTAAAATTAATTAAGATAACTAAGGCAAAATTAGAAAAACAAAGAAAAAATGTTTGGAATGGTAAAGGGAACAACCGAACTTTCCTCCCTTTTTTGTAATAAAAAACAAAAAAATGTTTTTACACAAAAATCAACACACACACAAACAAAAATTGCTTCGCTAAAAATATAATGGCTGTACTTTAGTATAGGCCCACCGAGGTCGGAACCTGTGGTATATACCATTCGATTCGTCTCGCCGAGCTGAGTTCAAATATGCAAGAATTTTCTGCGGGAGACGAAAACTCGCAGAGATACAGGCCCCCGAAAATTGAAAAACCATAGGGGGGAGTAAGCACAATTTTGGGGTGAAAAATTCGCATATGCAAATGATAGCTCATTCGAAAGAGCTCCTCGAGCTGAGTCGAATGACACAAAAATCAACAAAATCAGACATGATTGGACAAAGTTATGATCTTTTCTTTTAGCTCCTTACCTATGGCATTTGTGGAGATTTTTCTGCTACGGAGGCCCCAAATACGTCCAGAGCAAGGGAGATAGGAATAGGTTTATGTTACGAGCCCAGACCCAGCGCCCGTAGACTCCCCGCGAGGCGCGTGCCGCAAAACCCCGCGCGAAGCGCGGGGTTTTGCACAAGCGCCTCGCCGACGCTTCATAGGTTTAGGTTTTTTTTGTTTTTTTGTGTCATAACTTTGTCTAATCTTGTTCAATCACGGTGATTTTGGTGTCATTCGACTCAGCTCGACGAGCTCTTTCGAATGAGGTATAATTTGTATAAAAAAATTTTTATTCCAAAAATCGCCCCTTTGGATCTTCGGTTTTTAGGGGCCTATATCTCGGTCCAATCAAGTCGGATTTTGTTGATTTTGGTGTCATTCGACTCAGCTCGAGGAGCCCTTTCGAATGAGCTATCACTCGAAAAATCGAATTTTTCATCCCAAAATTGTGCTTACTCCCCCCTATGGTTTTTCGATTTTCGGGGGCCTGTATCTCTGCGAGTTTTCGTCTCCCGCAGAAAATTCTTGCATATTTGAACTCAGCTCGGCGAGACGAATCGAATGGTATATACCACAAGTTCCGATCTCGGTGGGACTATACTAAAGCGACCCCAATATAATTAAAAAATAATCGTAAATTTAATTAAAGGGATCAAAGTATAAAATAAAAATTTTTTTTTGACAGTAAAAAATCTTTAAAAAAGATTAAAAAGTTGTCATTTTTAAATTGTATTTTTAATTAAAATGAAAAGTGCAAATTGAAAATTTTTGTAAAACGTTAAAAAGTGCAGAATAATTTTGACTTTTCTAAAGCGAAATAAATATGTAATTTTGGTTCCCGTCAACTAATTACCGTCTCCAGGGTAATAAGGTAATTTTCATTAGCCGACATTTGCGGTTTGAATGCAAAACACAATCCCCGTTTACTAAAACAAATAGAAATTTCTTTTATTTTTAGCGCCAATGGAAAAATTTTTTGAAAGCCAGAATAAGATTTTCCAAAAAAATATTAAGAATACTTTCTACTTTTGGAAGGCCAAAATAATTTTTTTTTAAATACACATGATATTAACAATACTAACTACAATACATGAACCTACATATACCTCTAGAAATCACAAACATACAGAATACATATAGGGGGAATATACTAGAGCTATTTATTCTAATCAGATTATCTCGCATCTTTATTAACAACACACATCTTTACTTTCTTCTTTTTAATTTTCTTCACTTCTTCGTGGTTGCTCCTGATGTTTTGAATGTCGCAGCTCCTTTAGTTGTTGTTCCACCAGCCTTAGACGTCGCTCCTCCTTTGGTTGTTGTTGCTCCCCCATAAGAAGTCGCTCCCGTCTTTGTTCCCCCAGCGGTCATCGTCATTCCAGACTTTGCTTGCGTTGCCCCAACGGTAGTAGTCCCAGCGACCGACTTTGTCTTTGCCGCTGTTCCAAAATAGTCAGTCGCTCCTCCCGGCATAACCTCCTCCTCTTCTTTCTTGCCGCGAAGAACGAAGAAAATGATTCCACCAATAACAGAAAGCCTTCAAATAAATTTTGTATATTCTAATCTTTAAAAACAACAAACTCACAATATCAAAAGGCAAACAGCAACAACAGCAATGATTACCCCTTTTCCACCAGAAGCTGCTTTAGTTGGGACAGTCACAGTTGATGTTGGAGTATTTTTAGTAGTTTCAGTAGCTGGAGGGGTGTCAGGTGTTGTAGTAGTACGAGGAGCATCACGAAGCAATTTGAACTTATTTTTGTCCTAAATTTAATTACCAAATAGTTACAAAATAAACAAAATCAAACTCACAAGTTTAATATACATCTCGCATTTTGGAGTCTCCTTCCCGTCCAAATTCTCGCCCCATAGGATTTTTTGCGGTCCCCCTTTGTGTTTATGTACCTTTGATTGTGGGAGAATATGCAGAGCGAAGAGACGGGTGTATTCTTTATCAGCGAATGTCGGATCCTTAATCTCCCAAAACTCAGGCTTGCGAAAACTTTTTTCCGACAAACAAATTCCTTTCGGGTCTCCATTGAAAGACAGGTCGCTCCCACATCCAGTCTTTTTGGTCGTCCAATTCTGGTTGTCAAGAGGAAGCTCGATTTGGAAGTTTGCACTCTTAGGGACTGACGCCTCCGCTTGCCGTGCACAGTACCACATACGCGGCTCACCAACTGTAAAAAATTTTTTGGTTAAAAACAAAACACAAAAGAAAACTCACGAGGCTCGACAAAGTTCATTATGGCTTTGCCCCTGAGTCCAAAAGCAACAGCGTATTCGGTCTTCTTTAGGCACTTTCCTTGTCTTTTAGATTCGACACATTTACCGTGATCTTTACAGTAGTCGGTCTCGTCAGTCCTTTCAGCTCCAGCCTCTTCTTTACCCTTCAGACTGAACGAGAACGGTAACCTAAACAAAAAGGAAAACTTTTTTAGTTTAGAAAGAAAACTCCATTACATATTGTCATCCCCAACATATTCTCGTTCCACATCTATCGCGTCTTTGATACCAGCATCCGACAAGCATTTGTCCAAACTACCATCGTTGTTTGTGACACCAACTTCCATCACAAGCTTTCCATCTTTAAGGGGAAACTTTGTGAGAAGATCCAATACACATCCAGAAGTGGAAGAAGTGGAGCCCTTTTTGTACTTGATCATTCTGTTAAAAACAAAATTTTGTTTTAAAATTCAAAACCCCCAAATAAACTCACATGTCCCCCTTTTGATCCGTGTCAAAATCACATAAAGACTTAGCCTCCAACTTCAGCACCTCGACTTCGCTTCCTTTCAAACTATGTCCATTTCCAACATCTACGCACTTGACCACGCATTGGAGTAGCAACAAAGCGAAAGTAAGCAGAAGAAGAACACGCGAGAACTGAAGAGCCGATGTTGAGGCCATCCTTTTGACACTTGAAAAGATGAAGATAACTTGATGTTGTTGTAGTTGTTGAAGGTTGAAAGTTGTTTTGCGTTGCGGCAAAGATTATGGGGTGCTTTTATACCAGAGCTTTTCAACTTTGAAATTTTTTGTTAGGTTTCGGTGCTAATTGTATTAGCTTGGTCTCGGGTGTGATTTCCATATATACTACATAAATTAATTTTTCTACTGAAATTTTAAATAGTAAAGAAAAATATTTGGAAATTTAAGCAAAAATTAATGAGTAAAAAAACAAACCAACTTAGTCAACTTCGACTTTCCAGTTTAAGAATTTTTGGAGAAAAATTAAGAAAAATGTATGTGAAAAATTTAAATTTTGTGACTTTAATCATTAGAGATTATTTTTGAAGTTTATAATATTTAGAAATTCTCGATGAAATTAACATCAGTAATGGGTAAGGGGCATCGTACATATCATAGCCGGCATAAGCCGGAGCCCCTTCCTCTCTCTATTTATAATTTCAAGATAAAAACCAGTTTTAATAATTTTTATGGAAATTCAGAAAATGTTTCCTCAAAAAATTTTTCAAAATTTTGACAAATTACCAAATTCACACACTTAAAAATTTTCTTTACAAAAAATAAATCAAAACTCAACTTTTAAGAATGTCAAGTTTCTTCTTTTCCTCAAAAGTTGGGCAAGTTCTTGTATTATTTAGCTGTTTTCATGCGCAATTATAAATGTAATGTTCTTTTCAAAACAGAATTAAAAAAGGTTTTTCAATAAGGTTTATTCGATGTACAACAGTTAAATCGAATAATTAAAAATAACAATTAAAAGAACCCCCAAAAAACCCCCAAGGAACCAGGAAAAATAAACAAGCTTATAAAAATATAGTATAAAAGGCAAAAGTTTTATGATTCTCGTCTCTTACTCTTCGTCTCCACAAACAACAATGAACCTTCTACCAGCCGAGACAAACCTTGATATCCTTAAATGCCTCGACTTCAACCAATTAAACAACTGCCAACTGTCAAATCGCCGTTTTTCTGAAGTGATCGTCAACTACAACGAAGAATTGGCTACAATAAAAGTGTTTTATTCTGTTGAGTTGATTGTTTGGAAAAATTGTAGGTTTTTTCTGATTATTAGTTAATAAAAATGAATGTTTTTACAGATGTTTGCAAAGACTTGGTGGAGTATGGTGGCCCTAATGAATTGGACTTGGAGCTAAGTGAAGAAACAAAATTGAAGGTAAATTGAATGTTCCCTTAAATTTTTTGATAATTTTCTTTTTCAGTGGAAAGCAGCAATTCAAGAACGGATTCCCTTTTACTTCTACTACACCAGCTACTCTCCTCGGAAAAAATTTGATGTGGCGCTTGATGATTACAAGATGAATGAATTTGCCTATTTATTTTTGGTACCGAAAGAATCTGGTGAGTTTTTGAAGCTTCTCTCGACTTTTTAAAATTTTTTCTTTTAATTTTTAGGAGGAACATCGCCTAAATTTCTTCGACTAAAACTACATCAATACCCGGAAACAATTGAAGAAATGCTTGTATTTCGTTACTGGTTGGAGAAACTTTCAAATTGCTTCATTGAAAACTTCAAAATCGAGCAAGGATATATCAATCCGGAAATTCTTCAATTATTTTTTGGCGATTCTCCGTTGAAATTCCACACAAACTGTTTCTATCTCTATGATGAAGATGGTGAATATTTTCCTAAAGCATATGAATTTATGTACCATCATGTGGTTATTCATGGATGTAAAGGCTTTTATTACCAATATCCTGACTGGAATATGCGTGGCGAAATGATCAAAGAAGAGAAACGAAATTTTCAAGATTTTCTAGAATCTACTGAATATTGCAAAGTTGTTGAGTATAAATTGGATGGAGTAGATGATCCAAGAGACAGCGGAATATTGTATGTGTGCTTCCATCTTGGCTCTAAAGAACCGTTTCACTTTGAAATTAAAGGACCTGGAATGATGTAATTTTGTTTTGTTGTGATTATTTGTATTGTATTTTAAATTGTATGAGATTGTATGTATGTATTATTGCCTTTTGTTAATTTTTATTTGTATTTTATGTTGTATAAATAATTTATTTGAATAATTACTAGAGATATGATGCATTTATGCAAATGCATATTTTTTACAAACTTGGCATGTTGTATAAACTCACAAAAGACGGTTTCTGCTTGTAAAAAATGTAGGGGGTTTTCATTTGAATATTTTAATACATATGTAGGTATTTTATGTTTTTGGGACAAATAACACGAAGATTGCAAAATCCTGCAAAAATTTTGTAAAAATATCATTAGGTGACAAAAGGGAGATAAGGAAAAATGTCACTAACTGGTAATAGTGAAGAATCTACATAATAGAGCCCGGACCGAGACAAAATCTCGATCAGAAATCCCGGTTATCGAGATGGAGATTTTCCAAGATATTCGATAATATATATAAACAGGGAAATGTGGAAGCAGAAGAGTCATTTAGATGGAATCTGCGGAAGACGGAAGAGAGCCAATCCCTAAACCGAACATCCTGTGTCCTCTCCAGCAATTTTTTTTTGTAATTTTTTAAAAACAAAATATAAACATTCTCTCATTTTTATCCGTTAAAAAAATAAAATATAAATTGAATATTAAAAAAAAAGCATTTTTAACTCTAAAAATGTTTAACAACAAAAAATAAACTATAATAAGCATAAATTTGGAAAAAAATTTTTGTAAATTAATCGGTAGAATGAGTAATACCAAACACGGAAATACCAAACCCCTCAAAAGACATGACGAAATACCAAAATGTGATTGTTAACAATCTTACACGTTTATGAGGCAAGCTTTCACATTTATTTAAACAACTTTCCACGTGTTTGAAACATAACTAGGTTGTATATATGTTTGTATTATTCTGGGGGGTTTTTTGGTATTAGTGCGCTTCCAATTAATTTAAAAAATTTTTCGAGACGAGAAAGACGAATAACAAAAAAATTAAAATAATAATTATTAACTCAACTCTAAAAAGAGAAGAGATAAAATTATATATTTTAGATGTGTGTGTGTGGATATTATAATAATAATAAAATGATACAGAGAGTAATTTTTGTTTGTTTTTTTAATAAAAATTATCAGATTTACGAAGGAAAACAATATTGTAAAGGAAAAAGAGGGCTGTGCTTTTTGCGGATTTTTAGAATCAATTACGGATTTCGGCTTCGTTTTCAAGTGAGGACAGCCCTAGAGAGAAGATTAAAACAAATGTTGAATATTTAATTGTTTTTAAGAGAAGGAGGAGCGGGGTTGAAATATTTGAAGGGATATTTGTGGATATACTGAACTTTATAAATTATATATCTGGAATCGAACCAAAAAAATACTCGATTCTTCGGTAGTTTCCGAACTAACAGAAAAAGGTAGGAGATTTGACCAATGGCCGTTAAAAAGTTTTTCTTAAAATTATAAAACAACTTCTTGAATTTTTGTGTTTTTGATATTAAAATTTCTCTGCGGCATAAATTTTTGAAATTAATTTTCAAAAAGGATTAGGCTTAAAAACCCCAAAAATTTTAAAATTATTCTATAAAATTATTCTAAGCCTCGCTTAAACAATGGAAATATAGTTACAAAACTTACTGATAAAAATTACAGATTTTTAAAATTTTATATAAAAATTAATCCCCATTAAATCCCCTCCTTCCTTCTCTTAAATTAAAAAATAAAATCAGAAAAAACAATAACAAAAAATTTTTTTGGGTGATCGCCGGGATCTGGACATAAACATAAATATAGATTTTTTAATAAAAAAATTTTTGGAGCATAAAATATATAATAGCGCAGTTTTCTCAAATCAACGAAAAAAATATAAAAAAAGGCAAAAAACAATTGCCGAATAATTAAATAATTAAAAAAAATTAAATTTATTTCCTACTTTCCTGGTAAAGAGGATATTGAACCTCCTCCTCCACCACCTCCATCCCCGCCTCCACCTCTTCTCATAGCACCTTTATTTGTTTCTGCAAAAAGTTCGCGTTTTGCTGCACGGGCAGGCTGAAAAAGAAAATTAAAAAATGTTAAATAAAGTCGGATCTCATTATAAGATACAATGTTGGGGTGGTAAGTTTAATAAATAAAAGGGCAACATTTCCAAGTGTTAGTGCACCTTTTATTCAAACATTGGTTAGCCTATTCTGCAATATTGTATAGCTTTTGCGATAAAGCATATACTGTTAGTCAAGTTTTTATATTGGTATTCAGACGCAATCAAAAGTTAATAATTTAAATTTCATCTTTCTAAATATTAAGTAGAGCACTTGGTGAAGGGAATTTCCTTAGCGGTACTTAAAATTCAAAAAATCTATTCAAACCCCAAATATTGTATCCTATTAAAGAAGTATCGATTTATTTTACCTCAGTTATATAAAGATCATCATTTCGCAATTTAGCCAATTCCCTTGCAATTATAGGATTAATAGCCAACTGATTGCTGTATTTGCAGTCTACAAAAAATGTCTTGTTTAAAAAATTCAAATAACATTTCACAAACGTTTAATAAAATGCAAAAATTTTTGAAGACCAACAGTTCTACCCAATTTAATATCTTGTAGAGTAACGTCCTGAAAATCATTATAAAGTTGTGGACGCATCTTTTTTTCCAGTCCATAACTATAAAAACGGAATAAAGCATCTATTCCATAGCGAATCCTGAAAAATTTTTAAAAATTTAAATCATTTGAAAAATATTATAAGAGAGGGGAAGATTCTATGTCTTTCAGTTAAAACACTTTAGGAGGGGTTCAGTCATAATGAAAGTCATTGCCCCTAGTAGTTAAGTCGGTAGAGCATGGAAAGCCTGTAATAGTAGTACATCTCAAGAATTTGAGGAAATATATCTCACACCCAACCAAACTCTATCATTAAAAATTTATTTTTAAATTTACCCATGTTCCGCATCATCCAAAGCAAATTTACGAAATTCGTTATACATTGAACGATTAAAATTTTCACGTAAAAAGTGTGTCCAGAAACGATAAAGAGTTTGCATCTTTTAAAAGAGTTAAAAAAATTTATTTAAATTTAAAATAAAACCTCAGGATTATCATAACCTAAGGCTTCTCTTTGTTTTTTACATTGACTTCTCCAAGCACTATAAATCTGTAAAAGAAGGAAAATGATGTTAATTATATGGTAGCTAAAAGGGTTATATAGTAATTGAGGTTATATATTCTAGTAATTGAGGTAAATAATTAAATCATAATTATAACAAAGTAGAATAGACAACCGATATAATATCGTCTTGACCCTAGAGGAATGAAAGCTACAAAAAAAGTACAATTTAAAAAATCCTCAACCCTAATTCGAATTGTGGATAGCCTTTATGGCAGTCGCAAAATTGCAATACTAAAGTAATAAACATGGGGCTAGATTTTATGGATGAGAAAAAAGCAACATGACAGATGACAGATCTGTCATCTGACAGATTTCCATTTGATTACTAAAATGTAATTCCATAGCCAAGAGTTCTAAAAAACTCTTTTCGTTAAAAAATATAAACGAGAGGAAACTAATTTATAAACTATTCCCATTAATTAATCAACTACACAAATATAAAAACAAAAAAACCAAACCTGCTGTTCAAATCCATTCTCTTGTAATAAAGAAACAGATGGATGAACCATCAAAAAATTAGAAGCAGATGCTGGTATTCCAGTATTTTCCTTTATATCTGCTGCATTTTCATCACTACAAAAATTTAAAAGTAGAAATAAATCTTAAATTCACAAAAAAGCAAACCTTCTTGAAGTTGTTCGAGATCGAACACCAAGTACCCAACCAACAGAAATGCCCTAAAAATTGAAACATTTTTATTAATAAAAATTAATTAAAAAAATTTTTTTTTCAAACTTTTCCACCAATTACCGGATAAAAACGTGAAATTCTATCAGCATTAGGCCTTCCAGCGAGAGGACTTTTAGGCTGAAATTTATTAAAAAAATTTTAAAAATTAAAAAATAATCATACAACAGAAGCACTAGCAGCCATTCTTTCAGTTGCCTTTTTTACCCAAACATTTGCATTAGGATTTTTAATAATCTCCTTTTTCTCATTCTGCTCATTATGCTTATTGCTAATTGCATCCTTAAAATAATTAATTTATCAAATTTTTTACAAGTGTGACCAATTGTTTTCAACCAATCGTTTCCCTTTTTTAGTTTGTTATGCTTGTATTTTTAAGATTGTCGAACAGTTCAGATATCCAAGAATTTTTCGGTTCAGATATCGGTCCCGAACCCACAAAAATTTCTCAGGATCCACCAGCCCAAGTCTCACAATCAGTACCAAAAAATATAACGTAAACAAAAAGTCCTCAATAAACCCCAAAAGAATGGAGGTCGATTGACAACAAAAAAATAAAAAAACAAACATTTTTAGCTTTATTAGCCCACAGATCCTCTTCAACTTTCTTCAAAATATGTTCAATTTCTTTATTAGACATTTTTCTTTTATATTGTGGAGGTGTTTGAGTAACAATTATAAGTTTATTACACAAATTATCATCCAAATCATCTACTTCTTTTACTCCACCATTATCCAATTCTGAATCAAATTTAAAATCCAATTGTTCAGAATTTGTTCCCAAATTATTATTTGTTTGTTGTTGTTGTCTCCCTCCACATCCTCCTCCTCCATTTAAATTTGTTGGACGATTTTTTCTTTTATTTCTTTTTGTTTTAACTTCCATCCAATCATCATCCCCCTCATTTCTTTCTGATTCATCTTCCCCATCTCCATCTTTTGATTTTTCTTCTTCCTCGTCTTCTTCAAATTCCGTTCCCTTTTCTAAATTTTCTTTTTCTGACAAAACTTTTTCTTCTTTGGTTAAATTAATATTTTTATCAGAATTTGGTGGTAAATGACTAGAAGTTTTAATAGAATCTGTTAATTGTGGTTGTTGTTTGACACAACTAGAAAAAAATAAAGAAAAATATTTTAATTCAAAAGTTAAAGATATATGGTTAATAATTTTAAGAGAATGGCAATAAAAAAGACACGACTCCATAGATGAAAAATCAATGGAGTCAAAACATCAAAAAAGTTTTTACTTTTTCATTTAAAAACTAAAAAAGAATAAAAACGGAAGCGAACCAAATAACCGAGGAATCTTCGGCTTATCTCCTAATTCCGGATGCCTGAAGATTCTCCAATAACCACAGCCCTAGTAAAAAATCAATTTTAAGGATACGGGATCACAAGTGAGAGGATAACAAATAAGGAAAAATTGTTTTACATTTTAATGTCTTTATTTAAATCAACAAACCTCTTTGCTTCAGTTGTATCCCCATCCTTCTTTTCAATACCCTCCTTCTCAATTCCTCCCTTCACATTTCCACCACCAATTTTCACATCTTCTTCCTTAACAGGCTTTTCCACAATATCAATTTTCTTTTTATTACCTTTCATTTCTTCATTATCAAAAGATTTACAAGTTTTTAAATTTTCTTCTTCTTCCCCTTTTATTTTTTCTTCATTTTTCTTCTCATTTACTTGAAGAAGAGCAGCATCCTTCCTTTCTTTCTCATCAACTTTGGCCTGTTCTTCCATTTCTTGTTCCTTTTCCATTCTTATAGCATTATTTTCTTCTTCCAAAATTAAATTTTCAACCTTTTGCATTTCATTATCAAAAGATTCTGGACGTTTATCATAATCTCCACCAGGCGATGCTTCCGTTCCAGATTGTGCTCCAGATTCAAACAATGGCCATTGGTGAGGATTTGCACGAGGACGAATCTTTAAAATAAAAATATTGGAAGGATGCATGGAAAGATAATAAGTCTTTGTGATGACAAATTAGACCTAATGAGAAATTAGACCTAGATTCTGATATTCGGCCCCCGAGGTCTCCTATATTTTAAAACCATAAACTAGATTTTAAAACAACACGACACATTAATTAAATGGTTCCAAAATATCATCGATTAAAATAAAAAATAAACAAACCTTCAATTCATCCACGCTCAATTCAACTTTTAAACTTCCACGTAAACACTTTACAATAAAAGATTGATCATATGTAAGTGAACGAACACGTGGAAAACTAGCAATTAATTCTAATGGCAAAAAACCTTCTGCATCCATTTTACGGCGTAAAAAGAAATCTTTTTGAAGATTATCAGAAGAGAAATAATATTCACTAAAAATGATTAGTTTTTAAATTTTTTTGGACATAAACTTGCGGATAAAAGAAAATAAATTCAAAACCTTAAAGCGGCCCGCCCAGATTTTGAAAAGCGGAACGAGAACCAAAGTGTCAGAAAAATGGAATTTTTGATTTGTAAATAAGAAACGAACTCGTAAGTTTATTAGCTCTCGAAAGTTTTGTGACCGGACAGCAAACAATCGAGAAAAATGTTTTACATAAAAACAATTGCATGCAGCCCTGTTTGTGATAATCCCAATTAAAATAATTTTATAAAAACCCAAAACAAATCTTTCTTACATTTGAGTACGAAGCAACTCCCTGAGTTTAAATTCATCAACAATTGGAATATAAGGCAAAACTGCTGGAGCTGTAAAAATTGCATTTTGAGGAGAAAATTGGGTGACTGGAGCAGCAGCAATAATAGTAGCTGGTTGGGCTGGAACAACAAAAGAAGTGGCTGAAGAAGCTACCGCAGTAACGGGAATTTGATCTGTTGTAGTGACAAGAGTAACCGGTGATGATATTGGCTGAAAATGAAAAGAGTATAAAGCAAGGATAAGTACTCGAAATCCAGATCTTTTTTGACCCGAAAAAATGTTAAAACCCCATATACCTGGAAGGAATGACATCATTCCCCTCCCCCAATAAAATTTAAACGAATATACATTAATTTGTTGCTGTTGCATAGGAGTAGAAGACCCATAATTTACATAAGGCCCACCAGAATGAGCAATAAGTTCAGGAGAAGTTTGTTGTTGCTGATTTATTTGAGTTATTGTTGCCTGTTGAGGTGCTGGTTGCAAAGTAACAAGAGAAGCTTGTTGTGGTTGTGCCATAAACCCAGGACGAAAACTATAAATATTAAAGCGTGTCGACGCAGAAGACCCACAGACAGAAGACCCAAGGACAGAAAACCCACAGACAGAAGACCCACGGACAAAAGACCCACAACCATTTTTCTTATTTTTATTCAATTGTGCTTTCATATTGGCTCCTTACCTATGGTCTCCGTGGAAGTTTTGCTGTTGAGGAGGATGCCAGGCATGCCAATCACAGCGATATTTGGAATAGGATTAAGTTACGAGCCCAGAACCTAGCGACCGTTGATTCCCTGCGAGACGCGTGCCGCAAAACCCCGCGCGAAGCGCAGGGTTTTACACAAGCGTCTCGCCGACGTCCCATAGGTTTATGTTGTTTGATTTTTGTATCGTAACTTTGTCCAATCTTGTTCTTTTAAACTTTTATTAAAAATTTTTCCTTGTGGGTCTTTTGTCCGTGGGTCTTCTGTCTGTGGGTCTTCTGTCCTTGGGTCTTCTGTCTGTGGGTCTTCTGTCACTACGCCATATTAAAGATAAGTCAACAAACAATTTGGAAAAAAATTTGCAAAAAATAATTTCGGAGAAAACTCTCAATAAAAAATTTTTGAAAAATAAAAAAACTAACGCTGCAGCCAAAGCAATACGACTCTGCAAATTTTGAAGATAATTAGGTTGTAATAAGGCAGCAGTTTGATAAACAGTTGGGAACATTGCAGCAGTAGCAGCTCCAGTAGGGTCTCCAGTATTTGCTGTAGCAATTATTTGTCCCAAAGAAGGGTCAAATGGTGGAACAGCTGTGAGGGCATAATATTGCGAATATTGAGTCTCCATTAAATCCATATAATCAAAACTTTCTTCAGCACCAGCTTCTTGAACCTTTAAAATGTTTTTTAATTAAAAAAAAAGATGTAAAAGAAAGACATTTAATAAAGAATGGGGGCCTTTGTCAGATCCGGCAGTTCTCCAAATCTTCCAAAAGCCATCATTTTATTTAAAGCCCAAGCCATAAACAAAAAATGCCTTTAAAATCCATTCCCCCCGGCTTGGTTTTTCTCTTATTTAAAACCCCTCATGCAGATATTTTCCAATTAAATATTTTCTTTTTTTTTGTAAAATTAAAAGTTCATAAATTAACAATAAATTATTTTTAATTTAGAGAGAAAGCAAAAAAAACGCGAGATCAAAAACAAGAAGCAATGGAAAGTTATCATTCCAATAGGGTAAAAGAAACGAGCCTTTTCTTTTTCTCTCTCCTTTATTTTCTCTTATTAACGACCTTCAATTCCTTATAAATCAAATTTTGCGTTCTTGCTTATTTTGCACTTTCTGTCTAATAATTTTGATAATTCTAAAAACCAAAATTCGAAAAATTGGACGTTTTGAGATTTGGACATTTTGAAATTATATTGTTGAAAAATTAGTAAACAGCGCTGGATGGAATTCTGTGCGGAATTTTACGTCACGTTTCGTAAAATTTTTTAGAAAAAATCCCGCATGCGGATTATATAAGCACGCTTTGCCGGTAACTATGAAATATAAAGGGTCCAAAAATTTTTTAAAATTCAAAAAAATTTTTTCCAAACCTCATCCCAATCAGGCAAAGGTCCTCTCGTCCTTCTCTGTTCCAAAGTCAAAGGCGGCGGAGCATTAGGATGATTTCTTCTAATCCAACGATTGTCATTAGTATTTCTACGTTGATTATAAAATCCTCCACTACTACCACCTCTCGGTCTAATATCTTCATCTCTTGAATAATTACCACCGAAATTTGAAGAATTTCCTCCTCCTTTTCTCCAAACATCTGTCTGTACTCTTCCACGTTGTTGTTGCTGTTGACCTCCTCCACCCCCTCCTTCACTTCTACTGACTGAACGAAATGATGGCGGTGGGCGTTGATGATGGCCGTTATTGTTTTGCTGTTGTGATTGATAAGGACGAGATGAAGGACCTCCACTTGTTGAAGCAGCCGAATGTTGCTGTTGATTATTGGAATTGTTGTAGGGACCAAATGTCGCGTTGTTTGTAGTCATTTGTTGTTGTTGATCATCAATTCGGTTATTTTTTCGATAAGAACTATTTGGACTTGGACCGTTACGGGAACCTCCTCCACCATTTCCTCTGTTGAATGCAGCACCATTTCCTCCGAATGAACGTTGTTGTTGGGTTTGGTTGTTGTTCTGTAAGTGAGTGAATGTTTAAGAAAAATATAAATAGTAAAAGAGTTTATTGTTTGAGTGAACCAAGACTAAATTTAAAAAATGAAAAATAAAAATGAATCAAATATCCGAGGTGGGACTAAATGTCTCAAAGTGGGACCAAGGTCATGAATCAGCCAAACACTGAAGATTAGACACCATTCGATTTCATAGACAAAATCCAATAATTGCGGACACAGTTAAGCGGATAAACAACAGTTCCCCCAATCGGTCGTCTCCCTGATGTTCTAATCAGATGATGGAGTCTAAGACAAGTAAATCCCCACCCAAAAATAAAATTACCATTGTAGCCATTTTCTCAATTTTATTGTTCTTCCTCGTTGCTCTTTAATAACAAAAACGTTTCGTTGAATTCTGCCTTAATTGGCGAATATAAAGTAAATAAACTACTTAAAAAATACTGCCTTACACCAATTACTTCAAATGCTGTTTGTTTTTGTTGTTTTGAATTAATAAACCCGAAATGCCAATTTTTGTTTTTATTTGTTTTTTTAAAGATTTTGGGATTTTTTTGTTTGACAAGTCTGAAAATTAAAAAAAAATTAATTAAAAATCGTTTAATAAAATGAGGGGTCAATTGAGTAACTGAACGTTTACTCAACTAACATTTGATCGAATGTTTAAATTTCAACAAAACTTTAAATGATTTGATAGAGCATGGATTTGGCTATAAAATGGAATTTAAAAGAAGTTTTTTTGATTAAATAGAGAAAAAGTTGAGACCAAAAAACTAATGTTTTTGGGGAAAGTTTTGATGATTTTTTGAGTTTTTTGACCTCAACTATTTTATTTTTTAACCAAAAAATTGTAACATTATACACATTTTGTAGCCAAGATTCTGCTCTATCCAATGATATATAATTCACAGAAAAGGACTTATCCGTTCAAAAGTTGTAGAGTTATCAAGTTACGGCATTTTTTGCAAGTTTTAACAGTTAAAAACGTGTAAAGGAAACTTCCACCAAAAAAAGTCCAAATACTTGGGGTGTTAATGTTTGTGTGTGATACTATTACTATAATAATTATAATGCTGACGCGTGTGGTAGGGTCGAATCGAAGCAAAACTAAAAGGAATGAGTCGAGCGTCACGCCAGAAAAATAAAATAAAAATTGTTGTCTTGTATAGAAAATAAATAAATGTTCCGCTATGCAGAAACTAGAGATAATGGGGAAAATAAGAGAAAAGATAAATAGAAGGGAAAGTTGAGGTTAGAGTGAAAAACTAAAGTTAATGAATGGAGGGCAGTGACTCTAAAAACCAGCTGCCATTAAAGTATGAAACAAGAATTTCAAAATGTCAACTTTTTAAATATCTAATTCAAGCAAAACTCGAAATGTCACCAGGGTGACATTATTTTTAAAGTTGACATTTTGAAAACAGAAAAATATAAAAGCTGTTTATTGCATGCTTTACTTACAACGTTGTTTTTGATTAGTCAACAAATAAGGGATTGTGTAAATATTGGGAGAGTTAGTATGTGAAGCTTATAAAAAGGAATGGGGAAATGTTTATAGTAATTAAATATTTATGAGGTTGGTTTTTGGTGGATAGTGAGAATTTTGTTTTTTCTCATCTGTTCTCGACATGTTTTGATCAACTCATGTGAAAACTGCTACATATAATAACTCGAAAACAAAATTTAAAAAATAAAAAAGGGGGAGTATTTTTCTACACAAATTTTTTGTCAATTCGATAATTTTCTTTGTAACTTCGTCGAGAACCGAGACGTCCGAAAAACCTTTATTGAGAATTTAATGAGGTAATTTTTTGTCGAGACGCGAAAAATGAAATTATTTTAGTGCCGCAGGGAGTATATTTTTAAATTTGGAATATTTTATAAAATTTAACTGACGAAGGATTTTTCTTCATTTTCTTCCCGCAGACAAAAATCAAGAAGCTACAAAGATCAAGAAGCTACAAGTCCTTTTGAACTTTAACAATTTTCATGGTGGATACCGTTCATTATATAGACAATTCCTTTAAAAATAGTCTAATATTATCGAATGTTGTACTAAATTACAAATATTTTAAAAATATTTTTTTCTATTTTTGTCCGCTTTTCGAAAATATTATACCCATTTATTATTTTAGCTATTTTTGGGAGTAGGGGGAGGGGGTTGAGGAGATATATAAAATAATGAAGGGAAAGGATGTCAATAATTATTTTAATGTCATTTTATTTTACCAAATTTGTATTTAAAATATTTTTTTGTTATTTGTACAGTCTCAGGAAATAATTAAAATAAAGTTCCGATTAAAACAGTATTAATTCCAGTTTTGTAATTACCGGAAAGTTTATTAGATTTTATAAAATTTTGAAAAAGTTTTATTAAAATTTTATACAGATTACTGTATTTTCTCGATTAATTCCTCTGGGGAATTATATTTTCAACCCTTCCTTGGCATGGGGAATTATTCGAGGGAGGGGAATTAATCGAGAGAATACGGTAATTCTGATTTTGTAAATTGCTGAAAGATTTCTTATTTTATAGGTCCTGGAATGTTTAAAACTCTGATTCTAAAAAATCCAGAATTTATTAAAGTTTTATACATATTAATTCTGATTTTGTACATTCTTTCCGGGGTATCACGACTTTTGCGCCGAGAACATTTGCGCCGCGACTTATGCGCCGCGACTTTTGCGCCGGGCGACTTATGCGCCGCGACATTTGCGCCGCCATTGTTTAGAAAATCCGGATCCGAAAAATGACGGATATCCGAAATTTTCAATTCGGATATCAGATCCGAAGATTCCAACTATTCGACAACCCTACTAAAGTGAGTTCCGGCTGTAGTTATTGATATATTTTTAATGATAGTGGCGGCGCAAAAGTCGCCCGACGCAAAAGTCGCGGCGCAAAGGTCCCCCGGCGCAAAAGTCGCTCGGCGCATAAGTCGCGGCGCATAAGTCGCGGCGCAAATGTTCTCGGCGCAAAAGTCACGGAACCCTTTCCGGAAAGGTTTTTATATTCCCATAAATTCTGAATTAAAAGGATGTTTGTGTTTTCCGGAAACTTTGACTTTACCTGTGTTTTTATTCCCCCCCCCCCCCCCCTTCTCCCTTAACTTCCGCCCACTTTTTCCATAATATATATTTTCATTTCTTTGACGTTTTTCTTTTTGACACTAAAAGCAAAATCCTTGAAAAATGGATAAATTGGCCTGTTAGCAAATATTGGAATTTTTTTATTGAGAGAGGCACTCACTCTTTTTACAAATCCCCCTTTTTACCGTTTTATTGGCATTTTAACTGACAAACAAATTTCTTCATTTCTTTTCTTGCGGCATGCTAACAAAGAAGCAAAAAACACACAAAACAGCTTACCGTATTTATTCTAATTGAATGGCACCTCCATTTGAATGGCACCTCCAATGACACATTTTTGAATGAATGAAAAATAGAATGGCAGCCTCTATTTGAATGGCACCTCTAATTGAATAGCCCTTTTTAAATATTAACTACATAACTCTTATTTCATTATCCCCTTTGTTATCTATTTTAATATTCCTTTTTGGTATGGGTAAATGTGATATTTTTGAAGGGATTAAGAGGGGTATTAAGCTGATTAAGAGGGATATCAGGTGATTTGGGAGGATTAAGAGAGATATCAAGAGATTAAAAAGATTCGGGAAAAATATAGAGAGATTGAAATAATTAGAGGATATTTATTGATTCGCAGATCAAGAGGGATTAAGAGGGTTATTGAAGGATTTGGAGTGATATCGGGATTTGCAGGATATCAGGGATAAAGGTGACCTGAGTCATATCTGGAGATATTGATGGATTTGGATCCTGATATTTTTTATATATGGATGATTATAATGTTTTGTGAAAAAGAAATAGATGTTTTACAAATTAGCTAATATACCACAAATCCTCAAAATTCATTATATCTTCTTAATCACTTAATATCCTCCAACTCGTTTAATATCCCTCCACCAATAAATTCTTTGATGTCTCTTAAAGTCTCCATGACATCAATTTAAACCTACAAATTCATCAATACCTTCAAAATCCCTCTAAATACTCTTGATCCCTCTATATTTTGCCCCGGCAGGCATAAAACTTCAGAGTTTTATAGTGAAACTGAGTGAAAAATACAATAAACAAATTCAAAATATCGAATTTTAACAAAAAAATTCGGTAAAATTTCGAATTTGGAAAATATTAGGTTGGATATTCGATTCATCCAATCTATATTTCTGACCTATGAAAAATAGAATGGCAGCCTCCATTTGAATGGCACCTCCAATTGAATGACAATTTTTTGGGGTATTGAAAAATAGAATGGCTGCCATTCAATTAGAATAAATACGGTATATGGGATTTGCAAATCGATTTTTATTTAATTTATTATTTTTGTTTTTACCAAAATATGACATAACTTATTTTCAAGACCAGAATTTTAAACTTTTCTGAAGCAACATTAAAATTTTCGGAAAATTTAAGTAAAGCAGCTGGGCTATAGCTATCTCTCTCCTTTAGCTAGTGCAAAAGGTTAATCGCGGCTGGGAGCGAACCAGCATCTTCAGTAGTCGGACTGATGTGTTAGCCATTACACCACGCTGCCTACTTACGGACAGCCTTAGGAATCAAATAGCTATATGCTTTACATTTAAATAATATCGAAATTATACTATAATAATTATACAAAATTTTCCGGAAAATACATATAATAACAATACATATCAGAATTATATAATACAAACATCCCCATCCCGGAAAACATTCAAATAATTTCAGAATTTTATAGTTTCCGGAAGTTATATGAATAATTTCAGAATTCTTTAAAGAATTTTGTGAACTTTCCGG